GCTATTGCACCACAAGCAATAACGGTACTTGGTGCGAATTTTATATGCGCGTGGCGACAAACCGTATGTTGTCCAAGGGCCTTGTTCTTGAGCTGCCTGTCCGGGCCCAGAAGAAGTATTGGTGGTTGTCTTCGGCTTGCCGCGTCCTCGTCCTTTGGCGGGGCGGCCACCATTCTGGGCAGCTGCTAGTCTGTCTCCCTGATCAGATGAAGCAGCCTCGTTCGAAGAAGTTAAAGGGTCGCTAGGCGTTGCTGCTGCGACCACGGCTACCTTGGGCCGATGCTGATGCGTGCCCTGGCCGGCAGATGACGAAGGGCCCGTGTTCCGGGCGGCCAGATTCGTGACAATGATCTGCGCAGCCTTGTTGAAGAGCTCCTCACTTGTGGTGAGGGTGTCCGCGACGTGAGTCAACGCGTTCTGCAATGTCGGGCACGACCGCTTGATGAAGTACAGCTTGATGCCGTCGAAGTTCATCGGCAACTTGGGTGTGCTAGCCAGGCGTTGGACTCAGAAATCCAATCACCGCTCGGCAGATTGTTCTGTGAAAATGTCAGCAACTTGTCCATCGCGAGATGCTCCGGCGGTTCGACTTGGAAACGCTTCTTCCACGCCGCCGTGAGATCTGCCCAGCTGATGTACTTGTGCAGTTCGGTGACTGTACAGGCATGTGCGGACAACATGTTATCCARCCATGCTTGGCACGCTCCTCCCGAACGGGAGTACAGATATGCATGCCTGTTTGTGTCGATCACATGGTGAAGGTCCAGCTTGAGTTCGAACTGACGCCACCACGGTATGGGGTCCGTCTTCGATGAGTCACAGAAGATCGGAAGCCCGTCAAATTTGACAATGGATTCCCGTGGCGTCGAGCTGGAGCCGGCGGCGGTGCAGACATGTTGCGCCCCGGTCTTGAGTACTCCCATGTCAATCTCCAAAACGTTGACGCGGTCGACGAGGTCGGAAGGACAGGCGCCGGAGTTGGTGGTAGCAAGCTGCTGCTCCAGCTGCTGGATGCGCTGGAGCATCTTGTCCATGGACTGTTGTTGCACCTGGTTGGTGTGGTCGAGCGAATGGATATCCTCCTGCTGCGCAATACAAGTAGCAAGGAGGTCCGTGACGCGGTTGAGTAGTTGAGACACTCTGCTCCCGACGTCAACGGGGTTGCCGTTCTCGGCCTCTTTTTGCCAATCCTTAGCCTGTGCGTGAAGTGCACTTTCCTCCCTGAATATGACCTCGCGTCGCCGTGCACGTTCTTCATCGGCGGCCTTGGCTGCTGCTGCTGCGTGCTTCCGTTGCTGCTCTTCAGCCAGAAGACGTAGCCTCTCTGCCTCTGCTTCTTTCTTCTTCCGTGCTGCTGCTGCTGCGTCTGCCCGCTTCTTGCCTTCGGCTACGATGGCCGCCAACCGTGCTTCGTAGTCCGCGTCAGTCTCACCTGGCTTCTGATCCATCGCCGCTGTTTGCGTGCGAGTCAGAACGGTCATGCGCCGCGGGACCCTGACGTGGCCTGCTGAAATGGCTTACCTGGCCTGCAACTGCAGGTGGCTGGGCAGGCGGGAAAGGACGGAGAAGGAAAGAAGAGGTGGGATGGAGAGAGGGGGAGTGGGCCAGCAAAGGGGTTGCCCAGATAAGGAGCCGTTAATCAAAGAAAAAATTATGACCTTGCTGCATTTTCGGAAAAAAGAAAAAAAGTCGAATTTGCAAGCTTGGTAGGCTCCTTAGATATCCCCGCAGCAGTTACGAACAGTAAAAAAAAATGTCGAATTGCATGCTGCAATGAATCAGAATGGAGACAATGGGGGGAAAGCTGAACTGCGAGAGAAAATATATTCCCGCAGGTTCGGCAAATTCCGAAGGGAAAAAGTTCGGAATATGTCACATGAGAGTGTGCGCAGAGGGTTCCCGAAAAAATAATTTCC